AAGGAAGGAAGGAAGGAAGGAAGGAAGGAAGGAAGGAAGGAAGGAAGGAAGGAAGGAAGGAAGGAAGGAAGGAAGGAAGGAAGGAAGGAAGGAAGCAACACAAGCTTCAAGGAGTGAATGAGATGGATTTTGAGCACTTGGGCTCAGTTTGAAACCTCAGTAATTTCAATATTGCTGTCACTGGCTGTTCTGGGCCTTTCCCAGAGGGAAAAACTGGATGTGGCTTCAGCCAGGCAGGACAGGASCAGTTAGTCTGATTGGTGAGCAAAAAAAATCCCAAACCTCACAAACAGCCCAAACAGCCCCATCATTTCTCTTCTTCACCTCAAAAACAGAGGGAGTGGCTGTCTGTGCCCCTCAAGCTGGATCTTGTAGAGGCCTGGAGAAATTCACTTGCTGAAAGCAACTTTTGGATCATTTTTGCTCGGTTTAGATGGGATTTGCCCTGGCAGGGATCCCAAAGTCGGGGCTGGCAGTCACAGRTTGTGCAGAGAAATGGGGAAATCCCTTTTCTTTTTCCTCCAGGCCTCCAAAACCCAAAGCTCAACAAACCCAAAACCCACAGGAGCTCTCTCCTTGTGCCAGGCACTCAAAACAACCCCACAAATCCTTTTTGTTGTAAAACACACCGGGCGCACGGCGTGGTTGGTGARCCGACGGCGTCTCTTGAGGACACACAAATACTTTTGGGGTTGTTTTGTGGGGAATGAAGGATTCTCACCTCTCCCATGACAGCAATAGGAGTCTCCCCTGTTGCCTGGGCCACACGGTGCTCCACCAGGTAGAACATGTACTCGTCGTAGAGCAGGCGGATCAGGTGGAAGGAGCCGAAGCTGGCGGCGCTGCGCAGGGTGAGGTCACGGATCACCATGGAGCTGCAAAACCCATGGGAGTTGGGAATTTGGGGGTTGGTTTCATGTCTGTGTTGTGATTTATGTGAATGAAAGCCACGGGAATTGGGATTTGGAGTTTGGTTTCATGGCTGATGTGAATTAAACCCACGGTAATTGGAATTTGGGGTTTGGTTTCACACCTGTGCCATGATTTATGTGAATTAAGACCATGGGAATTGGGAATTTGGGGTTTGGTTTCACATCTGTGTCGTGATTTATGTGAATTAAACCCACGGGAATTGGGGTTTGGGGTTGCTTTCACATCGTGGAACGGCTGATGTGAATTAAACCCACAGGAATTGGAATTTGGGGTTTGCTTTCACAGCTGTGCTGATCACTGATGTGAATGAAACTGATGGGAATCGGGAATTTTGGGTTTGGTTTCACACCTGTGCTGTCATTTATGTGAATTAAACCCATGGGAATCGGGAATTTGGGGTTTGGTTTCACACCTGTGCTGATCACTGATGTGAATTAAACCCACGGGAATTGGAATTTGGGGTTTGATTTCGTATCTGTGGCGTGATTTATGTGAATTGAACGCACGGGAATTGGAATTAGGGGTTTCATGGCTGATGTGTATAAAACCCGCAGGAATCGGGAATTTGGGGTTTGGTTTCACATCTGTGGAATGGATGATGTGAATTAAACCCATGGGAATTGGAATTTGGGGTTTGATTTCATATCTGTGTCATGATTTATGTGAATGAAACCCACGGGAATTGGGATTTGGGGGTTGGTTTCACATCTGTATCATGATTTATGTGAATTGAATGCACGGGAATTGGAATTAGGGGTTTGGTTTCATGGCTGATGTGAATTAAACTCATGGGAACTG